GGGGGCACTGCCAGCGGTTGGGAAAGCTCAGCTTGGGGGGTTCGCACCTTGCCCTGGCTCCGAATACCCAGATGAGGTATTTTTAGCCTCTCCATGATTCAGGAGCACAGACCTTTGCTGGCAAAGCCCCAGCCCGGCCATGCCCCCCACCTCATTGCATTACTGTCTGGTTTTCTGAGAAACACCTGGTGTTGTCGGCAAGGATCCCTGCTGGAAACATCCCTCCCACGTGTGGAGTGGGAGTGGTGCCCACCAGCATTGGGTTCCCTGGTCCGGCATGGCCTGTCCCGACGGCTGTCACGATCTTGGCATGATGTATGTCCCAAAAAAGGCACTGGGGGACAGCCAAGGTACTCGGCTGCTTTCCTCCTCCCCTCCAGCCCTGGGAATAAGCACCCCCTTGTGCAACTGGGACAGATGATCAGGGGCTTATCCACAGCCCCCGGCCATCTCCACCACTTGGCGTTTGCCAGCACTGAATGGCTCCCTTGTGCCGTGCTGCAGCGCAGTGGAGGTCCCCCAGAGGGGCTGATCACAGGATTCCCTTTGGAGGCATCGTTAACCCGGGGGGGGCTGTGGTTTGTGCCCTTCTTTGACGTCACCCAAAAGCCCCAGCGCTGGCGGCCGCAGATCCAGGCACGCATCTCCCCACATGAGGATGCAAACGAATTCCCAGTGAGGCTGGTTAATCCTCTTCCGAGGAAGATTACTCAGCGCAGCTGGGGATGCCAAATAAAAATCAGATTTGAATACAGGTTGCACAAGAACGGAGCTCTCACAGGCAAACATGGGGACAAGTTATCTGGCCCACCGTGGAGCACGTGTACCGATGCAGCTGTGGCACAGAGCAGCTCAGCAAACACAAAACAAACCAAAAAATAAGGGAAAAATAAAAATCACACTCCAGTGGCAATGTTTTTGAACAGCGTGGTCTGCGGGAGCCATAACTAACCCGGACCCAAGCCCTGCTTTGCACACACCAGGATTTGCTGTGCTCAGCGGAAATGTGGAGTGCAGAAACGTTCTTAAAACCCAAATCCTGGAGAAAATGGTGCAGAGCATCACTCAGCACTCAGTACCTGGGCAGGGGGCTCCAATCCTGCCCCCATCACCCTGTGATTACTTTGGCACTGGCCACGCTAGCAAGACTCTAAATGCTGCTGGGGAGCAGCACTGGCCAAGCGACCCAGTTAATCCCAGTGCGGAACGGGACTGGGCGCAGAGTGGAGCTGGGCGCCTGCGGGGCGATGAGGAGAGGGGAGGGAGCGCTCCTGCTCCACCATCCCCATGGCCACGTGAGCCGTGCAGCTCCAGGCAATGGGAAAGCGTGGGCAGAGCCGGCTTCAGGAGAAAGAGTGCAAGAGGAAAATATCCAAGCAACGTCTGCGTTTCAATGAATTTATTTTCAACAAAAAAAATTCCCCAACGAAAAGCCGTACAAAAAAAGAACAATCAGAGACAAAGAGTGGTCGTTACAAAAGTGTTCACAGGTAGAAAAAAAAATAATCAACTGAGCAATCCCCAGCGCGGAGGCTAAGGCACGCCTGGCTTGGGTTGTGCGTGGGCAGGATTGTCTCAGCGAGGGAATGCAAAGGTCCTCAGTGCTCAAATCCTGCTCAGGTCCCAGCAGAGCGAGCAGGGTCAGACCCTGGTGAGCACAAGATTGCTGCTGGGTCCTCACCACACCGGGGCCACTGACCCCTCGATGGGCGCAGGATTGAGCCCGTCCGAGCAGGACTCCTGGTCCTGAAGGACTCATTACAACTCCACATCTCCCATCAGCATTTTTGGCTGCCACCAGCCTCAGCCTGGGCTTCCTTCTCTTTTCCTTGGCTACCAGGGAGATGCCACAGCTCCAGCACCCCCATGGTGGTACCCCAGTTCGGGGGTTGGTTTTGAGCCCCAGAATGGTGGGGGCATCGACACATGGTGCAATTTTGGTGCTGCCATGCAGGAATCACTTGGTAAATGGCACCAACACGCTGCTGCAGATCCTAAATTCATACCCCAAGTCCTCTGCCCTGCTGACAGCCCATGAAAGCCTTTATGATTTTGGCAAACTACCTCAAACCATTACCCCTGCAGGCATCACCAGGCTTGGGGCAAAGATAAGCAGCAGCAGACAAAGTCTCTGCTTCATCTGGCCATAAAAGCAGATTCCCTGTTATTTCCTTAGGCAATTGCAACCCTGGTGAGTTACTGTGGGAGAAAGGCTGCACCGGCATCATCACGGGGCTCAAACCCCAGGAAGATTAAAAACATACTCCAATAATCCTGAAAAATGCCTCCAAGCTCCTGTTTTCCATGACAGGAGTTGCCAGAGCACGGCCACTGCAGGCAAGGGGGGAGCAAATATTCCTCTCCTTTGAGCCCCAAAATCCTGGGGCAGTGATTAACCCTCCATGTCCTGCCCAGCCGCTCTGCACTGCGGGCTCTTGCGTGTTCTCCTACCATGCACGAGTCCCCGTGGGACAGACACGACAAGAGCGGTCGAGGGCGGTGAACGGAGCCAGGGTCTCGGCACCACGTTCCCATTTCCAGACCGAAGTGCTGCAAGGGTGTGAGCTTTCATCCCAAGGGATTGTCACGCTGTGATCAACTGCATCTGATGCGCTTTTCGCTCAACAGGTCATGCAGCGTGGGCGGATGCTGGCCAAAGGGGGGTTTGGATCAATCTGCAAAAGCCAAATTTAGAGTAAAAAACCACAGCAGTGGGTGCATCCCGGCCATCTCCACCAGCACTCCCAGCCCAGGGGGATTTGTTACCTCTGAATACAGTGGAGGTGGCCGGAAGCGAAACTCCTGGATGTATGCGAAGAAGGGACCTTCCAGGACGCCGTCAAGTTCACTGCGGCACGGTGGAGCCAGGCTCTGCTCAGCCTCGGGGCTGGACACGACTGCCGAGTACTCAGGAGGAGCTGAGGAGAGACAAAAAGCCATCAGGGAATAGGAAACACTCTCCATTAATGGGAGACAGGCAGGTAAAAGGGCTTTAAATCCACCATTTCCCAAACCCTCCCAAGTTCCCTGGGGAAGGAGGTGCAGCACCACAACCAAAAAATGAAGCAGAAATGGTCCTAAAGCAAAAGACAAGAGTGGGAACTTGCTCTGACCCAAGGGGAGATGCTCACCCTCTGGCTGCTCCGGGATGGTGCTCAGCCAGTCCAGGTTGACACTGTACTGGCTGCTGACGCTGGAGGTGCGGCTCCCAAAGGGGTGCAGTGGGATGGTTCCGATGACCAGCGGCAGCTCAAGGAGCAGCTTGGACGTCCCAGGAATATCCACGCAAACCTGTAGACGGGAGACAGCAGAGAAGCTCAGCTGCTGGCGTTTTCCCAGTTTGGAGGGGCAGATAACTGCCCAGAGCACTGGTTTGAACTGGCCAGGAGGGAATTCCTGCAGCGGGATGCAGAGGGAGATGTGAATGCTCCTCCATGAGCCCACACAAGAGCATGCAATGGGGAGAACCCAAGACCTCCTACAAATCACCAGCCCTAAAATCTCTGCATCAACTCAAAGCAGGCCCAAATGAGCCCAGGTGAGAAGGGGAACTTTCAATGTCCCCCATGATGCTCCCTCACCTTCAGGGAATATTCCACCTGGAGGATGCGGCACTGGAGGATGGAGGGACCCACCGGGGGGATCTTCAGCGCCCGCCCGTGCCACACTTCCCGCTTCCCTGCTGCGATGGAGTCGCCAACAATGCTGGTCACCACTGACTTCTTCTGCTTCTTGGTGCCCCGGGCGATGAAGGTCTGAGTCTGGATGATGGCTGCCTTGGGCACCACTGCACGGCTTGTGCAGTTGTCGATCTCGGCAAAGATAGGGATGACCTCACCTACCAAAACAGACGCAGGCGTTGGAGGAGGGGAGATGGAGCCCAGTGCTGCTACCTCAAGGAATTCCTGCATAGGATCTCCAAGGGTTGGTCATGCAATTCGGCACTACGGGAGCAAGGTTTAATCCCATGTCTCGAGGAGGATGCATACTCCCAAAGTTCTCTGACCCATTTTGAGCCAGAAGTCAAGAGCCCAGCTCACAGCGACCCCCAAATCCCATCCTGCTGAGGGCCACCCCAGGGCCTGCAGAGGTTCAAGGGCACCAGTGTGTCATCTCACCTGGGGTGTAGCCTTTTCGGTCAATCTTGGCAGTCACAGAAACCTGGCCACGATTGCAGTACCAAGCACGAGCTAGTTTCTCCTTAGCACCTGCCTGGGGAGCCTGGAGAAAGGGAAATATTTCGCCAATTTGGTAAGGAAGGATGAAACTCAAAGCAAGCACCTCCCTGGAACCAAGAACCTGCTCGGGAACATCGGCCACTTCTTGGGTATGTGATGCAAGAAGCTGTCGCAATGCATTTAAGTTTCCAAAAACTATGAGATGCAGATGACCTCTGCCCACTCCAGGTAATGCTGGAGGGCACAAATTACAGGGGGGGTAAATATTATCTTTGGGAATCAGCCCTGCATTGTAGTACCAGAGGCAGACACCATCCCCATGGGCTTCCCGGGGAAGTTTTGGATGCCGCTGCCCTGAGGGGGAGCAGGAGGAGCTCACCAGCAGCGCAGGCGTGTTGATATCGATGGGCTCGATCACAGTGAACTCCTTCTTTGCCTTCTTCACCGTCGACCAGGGCCTGTGCAGTTTGGCTTTCACCCAGTAGCGCACGCTGCCGTGCTTTCCCTCGAAGGAGGTAGCCAGGGTCCTGCATAGGAGCAACAAGCAATTTAGGAGGCTTTTGCTCAAAAAAATCTCATTTTTGAGGTACCCTGTCCCCCTCCCAGGACCTGTGTCATGCACCAAGCAGCTCCTCTACCCCTTTGCACTTTACTTGCATTAAATGCAACAAAAAAACCCTTCAACTTACTCGGGGAGCTGGAAGGTAAAGGGGAACTCATGCCTTCCTGCCTGCAGGACGGTGACCTCACCATTGTCTGTGGGCAAAACAGATGTAAGACAATTATCTTTCTCCTGCAGAACTTCCTCCCCAGGTGATTCGGTGGTGGAGACTTAGAGTATGCAGCAAAAAAGAGCAGCGTGATGGCACAGTAATGGTTCTGCTGGGGTGAAACGGCAGCAGCGGTCACAGGGCTGCAACATGAGATTTGGGCATGTCCCATGGGCGCCTGGCGCTGCCGCCTCTCCACGTGTCCCCAGGCATGCACGACCCAGGGACACCTCCCCCGAGAGCTTCTCTGGGCGGGCTCTGCTTCATCCTGCAGACCCCGTGCCTGGAGACACGTGGCCAAGCCAGACACAGCTTTGGGATGGTGCTCAGCCAAGCCCCCTGTGCCCCCCGGAGTTTGCAACCCCATCCTAGAGTTGGAAAGGACCCCTGGGGTCACCAAATCCAACCCACCCTGCTCCAAGCAACCTCCTGAACCTCTCCGCAAGAGTCTTCCTTGCCAGGGAGCACCCACAGCAAAGGGGGAGCCTTGTTGGGGGGCAGCCCCGCAGCAGGGTACCCTGCATGGCAGCAGGGTCTGGCTGCGCACCACAGGACCCCAGGGTGCACTAAGCAATTGAGGTGTCTGCGGGGGTCTATACACCCAGACCCCAGAGGTCCCAGACCCTAAGGCACCCACATTTCAGCTGGTTCGGGTGTCGTGCACCCAGGGTATCCCCAAGACACCCAGATTTCAGCTGGTAGGGGATTTGTTCACCTAGCACCCAGGTTGAACTGCAACCAACAGCTGGGGTGCCCCATGCACCCAGATTTCAGCTAGTTGGGTTTCCTGGAGCACCAAGTAGCCAGGGCGTCCTGCATCCAAGAGCTGGGGTGACTCAGGCTGCCCCACGATACCCAGATTTTGGGGTGCCTGTAGCACCCAGCAGCTGAGATGTCCTGCACCCAACAGCTGGGGTGTCCCAGCCACCCAGATTTCAGCTGGGCTGGGTGTCTGGAGCACCCAACAGCCAGGTACCCCAGGGCACACAAATTTCAGCTGTTTGGGGTGTCTGGAGCATCCAGCACCTAGGGTGTCCCAGGCTGCCCCATGGCACCCAGATTTGGGGTGTCCCAGGCTGCCCGATACACCCATTATTTCAGCCTCTGGGGTCTCCGCTGCACCCACATCCCCGCTCTCGGAGCTGACCGGACCACCCTGGGGGTGCCGTCCCCGGGGGGTGCCGCCCTCTGGAGAGGGTGGGGTGGGGGGTGTCGTACCTGGGGGTGCCAGCAGCG